GCACTCGTCCTGGATGAAGCAGACTCTCTGTCCGACGGCGAGCGGCTGCGGGACGCTGGGATTGGGGCCGGACTCCGCAGCGCGTGACAGCATGCTGACGGGGCCCTGGCTGTTAGCGGACGCCGCTAGGTTCGGAGGGCGGTCGCTGGAGCTGCCGCCGTGGGACGATCGAGGGAGCGTGATCTCACTGACCGGGAGGAACAGACCGCAGCCGTCTGGACACGAGAACAACTGATGCCCTTTATAGCTTCCATTGCATTTACCACGACCTGCTGCCCATCCCTGACAGAGACAGACAGAGCAACAGATGCGTCACACATATTTTTAAACACTTTAGTATAATTTTATATTAAAGCAATAAGCCCCGTAAAGCCATGGTTTACAGTGGATTTATAACAGCTAAGGGGCATTGTTAGGTACGACGCGAAGCGGAGGCTTATTGCTTATATTTAACAATTAATTATTTCATGAAACAAAATTTTAGAATATGTATTTTTATTATTTATTACATATATACAATAATTTAATAATTAATATTTAATTAAAATGTAATAAAATTTTAAATGAATATCTATTTTATTATAAATCTTTATTTATAAATAAAAATATGTTTTTAGAGGAAGAAATATGTCAAATATATCTAATAATCATTTTAATATTTTATTATAATTCTATATGAAATATTAGTTAATTAAATTTAATGAAAAAGATTATATAATAAAACTGCACACAGTAGTTTGATAATGTTCAAGTCAGGTGATTGAACTTTTTGTGAAATTCTCTGTGGATTCTTTTTTTCACGGAGTCAGGGTTTTTAAAGAGAATATTGAGGTTTGCTGTCACTTTGATCCTGTAGTTCTGTGTTGTAATTGTTATTGTTCAATGGTCCCTATCCCTCACTTTCAGTTTTAGTCTACTGTTCTTCTGATGAAGTCTTGCCATACTTTGTGTACACAGTCATAACCATAAAGACTGTTGATCTTAAAATACCAAACAATTGGGCTGTAAAACAGGCTCCCATGATTTGTTCTTAAAGGGGTCATATGATGCGATTTCAATTTTTCCTTTCTCTTTGGACTGTTACAAGCTCTTGGTGCATAAAGAAGATCTGTAAAGTTGCAAAGACTAAAGTCTCAAATCCAAAGAGATATTCTTTATAAAATTTAAGAGTCAGCCACGCCTACCTAAAACTGCTCGTTCTAACACGCCCCCACATGTCTACGTCACGATGTGGGAAGATTTGCATAACGCCGCCTAAATGTTCACGCAAAGAAAGAAAGCATAACTTTTATTCTCGCTGTAGTATTGTAG